TGTTAAAGGCTCAGAGTGTAGATATTCTCAGGAGATGACACTCTGTCCTTTGTAGGGCTAGAGTAGCCTCCCACCTGCAATAAATCTCTGCTGTGCTATTGAGTTTTTTGAAGACCTGGTATCATCACAGGGGACCAAACACATCTACTCCTCCCAATCCTAAATTTTGTAGGAATACAATTCCATGGGATTAAAGAGAAACTTCAGAGAGTCTTCTCTAGAGCCCTTATCCACTTGCTTAAGAGGCATGGTATTGAATAATCTCTGGCGGCGGGCGAACCTTGTAGTAGAATCCTCATCACATTAGAGATCTGAGAAATAGAATCAAATGCCCACTATTTCCAGTCCTAGAACAGGATATCCACAATGTCCCAGAAAGTCTACAATGACAGCCACAAAAATATCTTTCCATCCCTGAAAGAAACAAGCAGTACAAATTTTTTTAAAAAAAATTTCATTTATTTATTCATGAGACACACACACACACACACACACACAGAGAGAGAGAGAGAGAGAGAGAGAGAGGCAGAGACACAGGCAGGGGGAGAAGCAGGCTCTGTGCAGGGAGCCCGATGCGGGACTCGATCCCCAGCCCCGGATCATGTCCAGAGCCAAAGGCAGGTGCTCAACCGCTGAGCCCCCCAGGCACCCCCCGAACAGTACAAGTTACGAGGCCAAGCCCCTGGGCCCAAGGCCATCAGGAAGAACTTGCCTCTTCCCCAAACTGCAGTAGGGAATTGACCCTGGAAGGGACTCCGATGGAAGCGTAAGATTCCCTGCGCATAAGATGGAGATAGCAGAGGCCCTGGCTTCTCTTTGGTGCTGCCAGGAAGTAAACACTCGATGGCACAATTTGTATGAAGAGAAAATTACCTCTAATTAGAGGTTGGGATAAAAATATCCCCAATCTGTAAACAAAGTAGTTGGAGCATCCTGGAGGCACACAGCTTGGGCTGCAGAGCTGCAGACACGCAGTCTGCCCACTACTAGCAGCCGTCCCACCCCTGCTCCTGAGTCTGCTCCTCAGCCTGGTTCTGGGTCCTTCTGATAGCACATCCCCGGTCCTGAAGCGTGAATGAGGAAGGTTTCCCATCTTTGCCCCAGGCCAGTGGAAATATTCATCGGGTCAAGTGGAGGAAAGAGCTGGTTTATTCCATCTCATCACAGGTGTCCTTCCTGAAGGTGGTCTGGGGAGTGTTGCTCGTGAGCTGTTTCCCTTTTCCCTGGTGTCTGGCGGGAGCATCCAGGCAAGCCCTGCTTCTCTGCTTCCTCCAAGAAGGAAATGCGGCAGGCGCCCTAACAGGGGAACTTGGGCCTCAGGGCCCTCAGCCTAGGAACAGCAAGCCCTGGGTCAGGCTTCCACTGCGGCCACGACATCGTCCTTTCAGTGCTGGTTGTTGTGTTGCGCTTTCAGGTGTCCTGGTGAGTAAAAGACCCTGGCTGCTGGTGGTGGGACGCTCTAACTCCTCCCCTAGCACAGGTGAGTGACTCCTTCTTCCACCCAAGGCATGCATGATCCGCTTACTTAAATACACACCACACACAAACACGCACTAATGCACTCTAGCACACCCAGCCTCCTTTGGGTAAATTCGAAAGGGCTGCTAAGCAGCTTCTTATAAAAGTCTCTCTCTAAGAAAACACTTTAAGCCCAAACTTTGGCATTAATATGACCTTCCTTAACTGAACCACTACAAAGGAGACGACCACGCAAATAAATTGAACCATACAACTTCCCTTCTTTATACAGCATGAGCAGCACATCTAGTTAGAGGGGATGGCGGGTTTGTTCCCTACTTCCCTTAGATAGGGAGAGGGGTGGACATCCTCCTATTTATTTATTTATTTATTTTTATTTTTTTTTACATCCTCCTATTTAAATGAAATTGAAGAAATACTTAGAAGAGAAGGAGCAGGGTTTGATAGTTGGGAGAAAATGTGAGTGAACAGAGTTGGAAATATTTCAAGGAAGAGGAAACTTGAATGGAGGTGAGATGGAGCAGCAGAATCTTTGATAAGCCCTGAAGAGGCATGCTTTCACGGAAGAACTCAAGGGTCAGAGATTCCCCACAGTCAATAGATCTCACTTCTCTCTTGCTGTGAAGGTTGACTTTGGGTGGTTATTCAGGTGTATAATGGCACACTGAAGGAACAGAAGCCAGAGTCATGTCGCTTTTTAAGAATATAATCCACCGAGAGAACAAACACACATTGATGTAAAACTTCCTCTCTGCTTCTCATTCTCTGTGACCCATCTACAGGCTGACCGTTCTTTTCTTTATGAAGACTCTTTGGGAATATCGTAGTCATTTGGCCCAATCTGAGCCAAACTAGTAGGAAAGGAAAGGGGTACAGATGACAAAGGGGGTACATCTATTGAGCACTTAGCATGTTCTAGACCTTTATTTCACATAATTTTCACAATGACCTCTTGAGGTGGGTATTGTCCCTATTTTACAGACAAGGAAGCCAAAGCTCAGAGAAATTAAATAACTTTCCCAAGGTTACAAAAACCTAGAATTTGAATCACTGTCCATCAGTCTCCAGAGCTTACATTTCCCCTCCTGTAATTGCTGCTTCCGGGACCTCTCCAGTCTGTTCAGGGGTGATGCTCACAGGAAAACGCTACTCTTTGCTACTTGATTTACACTTTACATTAGTATTGAACCGTCTTGTAAATGCTTTCGCTCAAGTTTAGCACACACACATTTGGTTCCCTGAGGTCTTTTAAGAAATGTATCTCTCCTTAGTAAGTCACATATTAGAAATAAGCACATTTGGTTCGAAAATGTGGTGATAGAAGCATAGATTCCACACCTCCACTCATTGGATGCTTCCACAACTCTAATTCCCTTCCAAACAGGGCCAGAGCTCCCCTGGGAACAATTAAATCATATGGAGAAGCAGATCATTTGACAGCCAAATGCATCCTACCACGTCCTGGTGCATCATCACCAGTGAGGCTCCATTCCAGGATTGTGTCTCAACCACTGGCCATGACATGCAGACTCCATCTGTGGAGGAAAATCAATGTTTTACAATGAAGCACCTGCATCCGCTCTCATAGGAACCTCTGTTCCATATAGAATATTCACAGAGCCATTCTCTGTGGCCTTGTTCTGAGTTTGAAAAGATTCCCTAGGGCAGCCGGGGTGGCTCAGCGGTTTAGTGCCGCCTTCAGCCCAAGGTGTGATCCTGGGGACCTGGGATCGAGTCCTGCGTCCGGCTCCTGCATGGAGCCTGCTTCTCCCTCTGCCTGTGTCTCTGCCTCTCTGTGTCTCTCATGAATAAGTAAGTAAGTAAATAAATAATCTTAAAAAAAAAAGATTCCCTAACAGAGAAGACAATTTAACAGATAGAACCATGTCACAATGCAAACACAAGAAATCCAGTAGGAGAAAAGAGGCACTAGTTTCTGAAAACTGTCCACAGTTGGACACCTCATATTTCTCAGGTAACCAAAATCATTCTTTCATTTAGGCAAATAAACCTGGTTGTATACCCAGGAACTAAAGAGAATGACAGAGAAAAGAGAAAGCAAAAGGAAAAAAGTCAGTGGGCCTAAGAAGAATTTTCCTCTTTTTAATTCCTGTTTATTGTGTTTGATGAAGGGAGAAAGACTCCTGCTATAATATAATTTTCACATACTTTTACTTGTGACTGGAATATGGTGAACTGGAACAGAAAGAAGGGTTAAGAAAGGAAAGGCAAATAAAATAATAATAAGTTGTTGAGTTGTTTTAAAATTTTTATTCTGTCTTTATGAGATTTTGAGAATGTAATTAATTCACACTTGCAAAGTTTTGAGCAATTATAAAGATTTATAAAGTAGATCATAAAGTGATGGCAGTTGAAGCATATCCCTGGCAACAACCTCAATCTTTTTTTTATTTTAACAACCTCAATCTATTTCACGTTTCTTGGCATTCATAATTTGGTAGCTATGTAAATTATACACACAGATGCACTGTTCTACTTTGTAAAGCCTAAAAATACTAAATACTAAAAAATATAGAGTGATGGATGAAAAATGAAGTCCTTAAAGTTTAAAAAAATATTAGTTGTTGGAAACTCTGGTATATTTTACTGACAACTGTACTCAAAATTCTGTTTTTACCTTGTTGTTTCCTGGAGCATTAGGGGTGTATTTTCTACGTTAGGTATAATACAAGCTATTTCAAGAATCTTTCACAGTATTAAGGGGCACACAGAACTTCTTACATCCTTAGGTCCAATTTTCAGTACATTTTATCCTTCATCATGTCTGCTTGTCTTCATAAGATTCTGCTCCATTTTCTACTGTAGCCTTACCATTTTCCAATATTCAGAAATCAGAGCAAAGATATCCTGCTTTTCTTCAGAATGAACTATGGATACATTTCATCCTGTTTTTGATCTACCATAGAAACTATGGATTATGTTTATTTTAGAAAGACATCATTTTATATACTAGATATTATATGTCTGGCTTATGTTTTAAACAGATTTAAATAGCTTATGTCTTATTTTTTAAAAGAAATTTTTATTGGAGTTCAATTTGTAGCTTATGTTTTTATTTTTTTATTTATTTTTATTTTTTAGCTTATGTTTTTAAATAGCGCTTTTTCCTCCCATCCCATTTGGAATCAGGTCCTCAAACGACGTGCAGGCAATACCGCTTCAAAGACAAGGAGTTAGATGGTATCCCTGTTTGTGAGGAGACTCTTCATTTCCAGGTTTTACCCGGGCTCCCTTCTTGAGCTGTGGTGCCGGCTTCGTCTTCCAGCTCTGGAAATGCGCCCGCCGCAGTCTTGAAGGAGCTTCTTTACCTCCTCGCGTCCAGCTCTTTGAATGGGACCGCTTGGCGCCGGTCCAGAGCATCCCCGCATCCATAGCAACCAGAGTTCAGCTTCCTTTGTCACCTTGGCGACGGCTGCGCCGGGCCGTGGTCGCTATGGAGACCGGGGGCGGGTCGCCGGGGCCCGGGCAGGCAGGGCGCATGCGCGCGGGGAGCCCAGCTGCGCGGCGAGCCCGTGGCCCCTCAGCTCCCGCGACATGGCGCTCAGGCGGCGGCCGGCGGGTTGGCTCTGCGCGCGGCTGCCCGGCCTCGTCCTCCTGCTGCTGCTCAGGGGTGAGTGCGCGAGTTCTGCCCCGGGGGGCCAGGCGGGACAGCGGTCCCGGCGCGGGCAGGGCGGGGGCTCGGCCGGAGGGGCGGCGGGGGGCGGGGGGCAGCGGCCGGGGCAGCGGGTCGGTGCGGGGGGGTGGTCAGCGGGTCGGTGCGGGGGGGAGGGCAGCGGGTCGGTGCGGGGGGCGGTCAGCGGGTCGGTGCGGGGGGGGTCAGCGGGTCGGTGCAGGGGGGAGGGCAGCGGGTCGGTGCGGGGAGCGGTCAGCGGGTCGGTGCGGGGGGGGGTGGTCAGCGGGTCGGTGCAGGGGGAGGGCAGCGGGTCGGTATGGGGGGGAGGGCAGCGGGTCGGTGCGGGGGGCGGTCAGCGGGTCGGTGGGGGGGGGTCAGCGGGTCGGTGCACGGGGGAGGGCAGCGGGTCGGTGCGGGGAGCGGTCAGCGGGTCGGTGCGGGGGGGGGGGGGGGTCAGCGGGTCGGTGCAGGGGGGAGGGCAGCGGGTCGGTGCGGGGGGGAGGGCAGCGGATCGGTGCGGGGGGGGGTCAGCGGGTCGGTGCAGGGGGGAGGGCAGCGGGTCGGTGCGGGGGCGGTCAGCGGGTCGGTGCGGGGGGGGGTCAGCGGGTCGGTGCAGGGGGGAGGGCAGCGGGTCGGTGCGGGGGCGGGGGCACCGGGTCGGTGCAGGGTTAGCGGGTCGGTGCTGTAGGGGGACCGGGTCGGTGCAGGGCAGGGGTCAGCGGGTCTGTGCCGGGGATCTGTGGCCGGGGCACCGGGGGCCCGCCGAGTGGAGGGCACCGCTCTCTGCACCGACAGACCTCGGGAGCGGAGGCGTGAGGTCCGAACTTGCTAGAAGACTCTGCAGACGGGCGCCTGGGTCAGCAGTGGTCAGTGAGGGGCCTCCCGAGGTGTCGGGGGCACGACCCCGAGGCCTGGGTGTCCTCCCCATGGGTGAGGGGCCTCCCGAGGTGCAGGGGGCACGACCCCGAAGCCCAGGTGTCCTCCCGGTAGGTGAGCGGCCTCCGGAGGTGCAGGGGCACGACTCTGAGGCCTGGGCATCCTCCCCATAGGTGAAGGGCCTCCTGAGGTGCAGGGGGTCACGACCCCCAGGCCCCGCGTCCTCCGGGTGGGTGAGGAGCCTCCCGAGGTGCAGGGAGCAGGACCTCCAAGCCCGGGTGTCCTCCCCATGGGTGAGCGGCCTCCCGAGGTGCGGGGGGGCACGACCCAGAGGCCTGGGTGTCCCTCCCGGTGGGTGAGCAGCCTCCTGAGGTGCGGGCGGCTCACCCGGTTGGTCGCAGCCTTAGGAGATGTGATTGTTAATTTCTCTCCTGCTGTAAACAAAGGAACTGAATCGGGCAAACCCAGCTTTACTTCGGGGGAAATAAAACGGCCTGGGTGTCAGGCAGGTGTCCTATGTGTCAACAGCCAGGCCTAGGAGACCCGGCAGACCCGCACCTGGAAAGAGCATCTGGGCCGGTTCGATCAGGTCACAACAGTAACGTTGGGCGGTTTGTGTCCCCCCACCGGTTGGTAAGGCCCTGGGGTTTGTTGTCCAGGACCGTTGGGCAGAGGACTGGAGATGGTGTTTAGTGAACAGGACTGTCCTCTAGGTGCTTGGAAGTCCTGAGCTCCCTTGGTGCTGACCCAACTGTGTGCGGGGTTATTAACCCACTTCCAGGTAAGAGAACTGAGACCTAAGTCAGGTCCCCTTTCCAAGACTGCAAGTGGTGAAGACTCACCTTTGCCTAAAGCACCCCTTGCTCCCTGAGTGGACATCCACAGGTGGCCACACGAGCTCTTTTCAGCTCCGAGGTCATGTTAGTGTTTGGCTTAGTTGCCCTTGTCATCCCATGATGTTTTCCAGAATATACAAATTAAAGCACGAAGTGACTGTTTGGGAGTGGGGGTGGACAGACTAGGAAAACAAAGCACTCCTGTGTTTGATGTTCATTCTTGTGGAATGTTCCTATCCGTGATAGATAAAAAGTGAGAGTCTGAGGAGCCATGGAAACAGGCTTTATGATGAGGGGTAGGTTTCAGGGTATAGATGTTGTCCATCTACTTTGCCTGAAAGTGATTTCCAGAAACATGTGGTTGAGGGAGAGAAATGATCAAAGGCTAGCCAGGGGACAAGGGTGTCAGGAATGTCCAGCTCCCGGCTTTGTTGGTCACACTGACACTGTCCTATTCACAGACTGGAACAACTCCCTATTGTTGAAAAGTTCTGTTCACAGGAAAGTTTGCAGTTTTTATTGCAGACGCATTTGGCAATTCTATTTAGGAATGAATTTCAGCTTGGTGGCTTGTTAATAAAATTAGAAGATGCTAAGGACCTCACATACCCTTAACTCTAGTTTGCTTTCCTGGAAGTGCAGGTTTTGTGGCTTTCTTGATATTAACGGCTGGGATTTACCTGCAGAGAGCACAGGAGGAAGAATAAAATTTTGCAAAGTAGGACTGATGACAATCATTCTGAGGGGATGCAGCTATCTTTTTTTTTAGTAGGGAGCACTTTTTCTGTTATTTTGTGTGTACTTTTTTTTTATTTTTATTTATTTATGATAGTCACAGAGAGAGAGAGAGAGAGAGAGGCAGAGACACAGGCAGAGAGAGAAGCAGGCTCCATGCACCGGGAGCCCGATGTGGGACTCGATCCCGGGTCTCCAGGATCGCGCCCTGGGCCAAAGGCAGGCGCCAAACCGCTGCGCCACCCAGGGATCCCATTTTGTGTGTACTTTAAACATACTGTAATACCTTGAAAACTTTTTTCTTCCATGGGTCAGGACAGTTGTGTCTCTCTTGTTTTTGTAATTCTTTTCAATTACTACAATTACTGCTTTCTTCAGCATTGTCATTTAAATACATTTCTTCCTGATTTATTACATTCTTTATTAGCCTTTGCCGGGCTCTGTTATAACAATTTAATATATATTCATTTCATGTTGATAACAACTCAGGGGTTGCTACTATTATTTTGCGCACTTTGTGGATGAAGAAACAGAAGAATGGAGAGTTTCCGTAACTTGCTCAGGGTGATAAGCCCATGCATTTTAAATTTAGAAATCTTGAACTATTTGCGTTAATCTAATTTCTGGTTGCTTGTATTAGTGCATTTGACAGTGGATTTCTTCTTAGGCTCCAAATTATTAGGCTAACAAATTATTAAATGTTCAGAGCTGTGTGGTTTGCATATAAAATATTCTTTTGTTATGTTGGTGACAGGTGCAATTCAGTCTTACAGATGTTACACAATGTGTCTTTTTTTGAATGATTATGTAGTAATTCCTTTTTGGTTTCCAAATCTTTTGATGTCCTAGAGAGAAGGGCTTCATTTAGAATTAAAACCGTAACAGTTTATATTCTTGGGATAAGACAACTTGTGTGCTGAAGTTTAGCAAAATCTGGAAATTGAAATTTCCCGGAAGATTTTTGAAAACGATCCTAAAACATTTTTTAGAATGACTTATTTTATATTGTTTTAATTCCTTTTAAGTTATGTGGCAGATATAATTACTATCAGGCGTGTGTGTGTGTGTGTGTGTGTGTGTGTGTGTTCGTGTTCAGAAAAACAAAGAACACCTGCCCTGCAGCCTGCAGTGCCTCAAATCAGCTGTTCATTCCCCAATGACTTGTTGATAGACATTTCTTCCTGAGTGCTTCAGGCTGCGGAGATTGAATGGATAGCTATTAGAGATCCTTAATCATAAGTAATTGCAGTATTACATCCAGACAAAATTATTCTACCCCCAGCCCCTAAGGTCTCTGTAGCTTGGTCTTAAGGAAGCCCAGTAGGGGAGGCTCAGAACAGTTTCTTTGAAAGAAACCAGATTTGTAATTAAGCACATATAATGTAATGGAAGGAGCTATGGATTTAGTATATCTGGATATACTAGCAGCTGTTAGAGATGTGGTATTAGCAGATTCCTTCTCCACAAATTCTTTGGATTTTTTTCAAAGCACAAGTGCGGTAAAAGAAAAGAAACTATGTGAATAAAGTTAGGATGTATAGAGTCTGTTGAATGAGACTCTAGTCATGAAGTTGGATTCTCCTTTTTAAGTTATGTTTGGAATCAGGTGGTTTGAGTGTGACGCTGTTAGGGTTGAATACAGATTTCACAGATTTCTTCTTTCTCTGCCCTCTGAGTGCTAACCATATATGCAAATAGTTTCACTGGGGTATAAAGAGATCCTGAGAGAAAGTTTTGGTAAGCACATTCTTTTACACCTAGTTTAGCAAGGACAGTATCCGCTGTGGGACTGTATATGGAGATCTAAGGCCTTCATTTACTGCCTCTTTGCCACTTGTCATGACAAACAGAAAGCTCCTCGAGAATTAGCCTTTGTTTCTGATATAAGGGAATGCTGTAGTATTTTGTGTTGGTGTGTTTTCTTTGTTTTTAGGTGGTGTCTATTATATGGTATGCATTAGTTTTCCCTGTGAGTAGTTAGTGTGTGTCCAGCAGGGGTTTCAGTGCTGATTGCGTAGAAACCTCAAACTGTTTAATAAATGAAGGCTGCCCATAAACAGTTTTTCTTATGTTATCTTTCACTTTCACAGAATCCCAAAGGTTCTGTGGTTCAACTTTCTCTCTGTAAATTATTGCCAACATTCTGCTGTATTCATGCCGCTACCGCCTAACCTGACCTAGCTCGCAGTGACCCCTCCTATTTCCATATAAGCACAGCTCTTAGTTTGTAGTTCAGTTTAGTACAGCAGTTGTTTGAGTATCTATAATATGCCAGGCACTATTGTTTGTGCCAAGGGTACAGAAAGGAATAAGGTATCCCCAGTTCCAGAAGAGCCAGGGCAGTTGTATGCTGAATTGTATTGGGTTTCAGTGACTGGGTGTAAATATGTGTTATCCTCTCAATGATATCAAAAATTCACTGGGAACAGAGGCTGAATTTAATTTCTTTTGTATCTTTCCAGATACGACGATGGTAAATATTCTTTTTGTCACTTGCAAGTCAGTTATCTTAAAAACTTCCTCTGTGTCTAGGCATTTTTTTATGTATCT